GTAGTCAATGAAGCAGACGTAGATGTTTTTTTTTTCTGGAATGCCCTTGCTCTCTCCATAATTCAGTGAAATTGACAATTTGGTCTCTAGTTCCTCTGCCACTTTAAAAACTAGACTGCTTTTCTGGTAGTTCTCAATTAACATATTTCTGAAGCCTGGCTTGCAGGATCTTAAGCATAACCTTGCTGGTATGTGAAATGGGCACAACTCTTCAGTAATTTGAACATTCTTTGGCAATGTCCTTCTTTAGGATTGGAATGTAAATTGATCTTTTCCAATCCAGAGGCCACTGTTGTGTTTTCCAAATTTGCTGGGATTTGAAAGGGTGCTTCAAATACCTCTTTTTTATTCAATGTCCATATATTTCCTTTAATGGTTAGATTCAGGTTTTCAGAGTACCCTACTTTGGGTTACATCTTGAGTTCCTTTGCTGTTCAGAACAGATTGTTTCATTCTCTTCTGTGGTTTCTGGTGACTGTAGAATAGTTTTATGTTATTTAAATTTCCTTTCCTTTATATTTAAAGGTCTGTCTCCTAGTTGCTAGCAAAATTTGTTGTTTATCATTGGAATTCATCTCATTCATATTCATGCTAATTATGTATTTCTCTTTTATTCTCTTATGCTTTTTGTTCTTCATGCCACTTGTCCACTTATTTACTAAGAAGAAAATAGTAAGAAAGAAGAAATTTGGTTAATACTAGTAATTTGTAATAGAAGTGGTCCACTCCCACTCCACTGACCTGTGCTCTTTACCTAGCCCATATTTCAAACACTAATACCTTTCTTTCTTTTTATTACTTGTTTTTAAGATTCACTCACCAAAGTTGAAGTTTATTTTTATTTTACCTGTTTCTTCCCTGACCTTTTTCCTTCTATTAAACCCACTCTCCCTATCCCTGCCTGTTGGGTTTAATGAATTTCTATGCCAAACTCTGGTGTGTGTATGTGTGTGTGTATTCAATTTTCCTTTCTTCATATATTAATAAGATTCATGAGGTACCTACTCCTTCTACATCATCCTCCAATATGAGGACATGATGAAATACTGCAGCTGGTGGGTAATGATGAGGTGCCTGCCCTGGGCTCCCTCCTTAAATGGAGGACCTGGGAAGCATGCTCCAATGTCCACCCTTTACCCTCTCTTTGCAAAGAGAGGTAGGTAGTTCAGCGGCAAGAGGCAAGAGGTGTGAGTTTCAGAGTTGACATGATCTTGCAGGAAGATGAATTTCTGGAGACCATAAAGTCCAAGAGAACAGCCAGGTGGAAAAAACAATGAGAGACAAGTCAAGTGAATGTTTGCCATATTTAATCTGCAACCAGTCATTCTAGATAACATTGTATCAGATAATTCATTTTATGAAATCACTAGCTGAATCCAAACCACTATTTACAAAAGAAATTAATATGAAAATCATACCCTAAAATAGGCAGAGTTCTAGCTTTCTGAGTTCAAAGTAAACTATTGACACAGAGCTTCATAGTTTTATACTACAGAGTCACACACATTAGTTGTGGGTGACTTTTTGTTGTATTTGTATTAGTTTTCTAACCCTAAAACTCTTTCTGTACTACACCTTATGGCTTTCCCACTAAATGAACTATTTAGAAATATAATGACTGGGAAGCTGAGCCCTAGTGTTGAGGTTTAGATACTAGGGGTGCTGGGACTGCAAAATCACAACATGTGGGTCCTGCCCAAAAGAATTCAACCCAAGCCTTCTTTCAACCAAAGACAAGGTTTATTAAAGATGAACCATATAGGCCAGACTCTTGAGGAATCTGAACATTTGTGATGCTCACGGGCAGGAGGAAGTCTTAGCCCCTAAATGGAGGCCAGGATGAATCTTATATACAGAAAGACTATGGGAGGGATCTGTGTGGTCAGGTAGTTTTGGGGTGATTGGGGGGGCAGGGCTGGGCAAAGGGCATCTTGATGGGAGTGGCTAGTACTGGAAGAGAGGTTTAGGGAGGATCTTGAAGCTGGGGTGATTGGGGAAAGGGTTTTAGGAAAATCCCAATGGGAGTGTCTGAGAGGTTGAATGGGGTCATCCAGGAATAGACAATGAAGGACTAGGCTTAATTAGGATAACAAATAATTCGGAGGTTGGGCCTAGACAGATAAGGAAAGGCCAGTTGAATGGATTATAGCTTCACGCAACCTCTTGAGACTTCTTTGACTAAGTAAGTGAGTACAAGGAAAGTTTAAGGGTTTTCTGGGACCTGTAGACAAAAAAGACCCAAATTCTTTTTGGGGTGAGGGGCAAAGGTCTTGGCTTGGGCCCATACCCCATCACTAGGATGGTGATGTAAGAGGGCAGCCTAGAGGAAATTCAGAGAGGCAGGAAAAGGTAATTCCAGGATGTTAAAATGTATAGGTGGTTAGGTCTTCAATTCATACATGGGCAGATCTATCTAACTTCTCTTTGGGTAAGCTATATATATATATCACTTTGTTTTGTGCCTCTTTTGTTGTACTTAAGATATTCTGCCCTATTTGTTTCATTTGCTTGTCATATTTCCCCAACTAGATTATAAACTCCTTGAAGAGAGGAGTTACATGTATATATACATATATATATATATATATATATATACACATATCTCTTTACCATCCAGATATAGCAATATCCAGTATAGAAGAGGGAAGGTTCTAGATAGCAGTGGCAAAGTGAAATGAGTTGTGTAGATCTCATTCCATAATTCAATTTCACCTTAAATCCTTGTGTCTTGTCTATTAACAAAGTTATCTTGAGCCTAACTCCTTCACCCCACCCCTTACAGGCACACACACATATACCCCATCCCCACCCCAAGTAGTGCCTAGCTTTCAATGTAAAGTATTCTATCCTTTTAGGACCCTTTTCAAAAGGAGCAGTTAATAATGAAAAGGGCAATGTTTCCCTATAAGGGAAGAAATTTGTTATGTCAAGAGGTGTGGGATTTTGCCATTGCTATGGATGAACATTTTGATTCCTAATATAAGTGGAAAAAAGAACTTTGTTTTAAATATATTGCTAAAATATGTGTATACAGACACAGATTTCAGATGGGATTTGTACAGTTTTGGAGAGAAAGTCATCTGAAGTATAGAAATGGAAACATAGTTATAAATATATCATTAAAATTGTAATTTTCATGAAAAAAGCAACCCCATCATAAACACAATTATTTTCTAATTATGGTTATTACAAAATGGATTTTATCACTGGTGTGATGATAAATGTTTCATGAAATTAAATATTCTTTATGGCATAGAGTAAAGATCAAGGAAGCAAATATTTGAAATGGAAGAATAATGAATAAATTTGTGAATTAAGATTCTCTTGATGTGCCTATTATGACTAATGCTCTTTTGTTAGCTTAACTAATCCCCTATATATCTTAACAACAGGTGTCACTATATTAAAGTATTGATTAACTTGGGTTCTTGTAAAATTCAAGCATATTTGCTTTTTTTTTTTGTTGGCAAGGCAATTGAAGTTAAATTACTTGCCCAGGGTCACACAGCTAGTAAGTGTCAAGTGGTTGGTCTGAGACCAAATTTGCACCCAGATCCTCCTGACTCCAGGGCCAGTGCTCTGTCCACTGTGCCACCTAGCTGCCCCTAGTTCAAACATATTTGAAAAAATGTTTTAAAAAATGTCCTTTTCGTACGCATGAATGAAGTCAGGAAAAGAATCATTTAAGTCAAACAAATGAAAATGTTGTAAAAAGAATCCCCCTAAAGTCAGCTCTTGATCTTCAGCATCTAAATATATACGCATTCCATCCTTTGAAAAAGGTTAAACAAACAAACAAACAAAAAAACTCTGGGCCTGATAACAAATTGGGAAATGCCAAAAGAAAAACATACACATATTTTAGCTACAGGGTTGTTGTGGAAAGCCTGTAAAAGTGCAGTAATTAAGAATAGCTGCTTTGGGATTTTTGTTTTTAAATATTTTGAAATTGGAATTCATTCAAAGTTTTGAAATTTTAAAAAGCCACATGGTACAAATATCTCAAGCTTTTGAGTCTTGGTAGATTTATTTTCTACCTTCTTATTGCATTCTTCTGGTGGCTAGCATTTTTAAGAGAATGCTTCATGATTATTTTAATCAAAGCTTTTTGGAAATTTGTAATCAGTTTTTAAAAATAAATTTAATCCTGGATATTAAATTTAATTTAATAATATTCACCTCTTGGTGAAATAGCTCATATTTCAAATGAAGGTAAAAAGATCATATTTTATTATCTATAATAAATTAAATTCAAGAAATTTGTAAGATTCTAGATTTAGAACTAGAAGGAACTTTGGGGGTCATCTAATATAAGTCCTTCATTTTACACATGTGGAAACTGAGATCCAGAGACTTATCCAAGTGACTTAACCAGGATCACACAGGTAGTAAGTCAATTCAGAAAACATTTATTAAATGCCTGCTCTGTTGAAGGCACTGTGCTGAGCTCCAAGGATATAAAAAATAAAATGAAACAACCTTAATGAGATGTGAAGGGAATAAAGTTAAATGATTTCTTAGCTTATTTTAAAAATCTGATATTATAGAATGACTGTGGCTACTAATTTGATGAATTTAGACAATATTTCTAGGATGGTAGAGAATTTCTGCTCATAGTCTTTGTTGTTGTTGAGTCATTTCAGTCATGTCTAACTCTTCACAACCACACTTGGGTTTTTCTCAGCAAATATACTGAAGTGGTTTGCCATTTCCTTCTCCAGCTCATTTTACAGATGAGGAAACTGAGGCAAACAAAGTTAAGTGATTTGCCCCGGGTCACACGGTAAGTGTCTGAGACTGTATTTGAACTCAGGTCCTCCAGACTCCAGGCTCAGCACTCTATTGTGCCACCTAGCTGCCCATAGAACCTGTCCATAGAACCAAAGTCTAAATTACCTGAAATATACATCACAAATGTATTTAGTTTTATGTATCCCTTAATTTATTTTTTATGAGAACTATACCATCAGAAAAATACTAACTGTTATTCATTTCTCCAGTCCAGGATTTTTACTCGCACACCTACCTTATATTTGGAATTCAAATTGGACCAAGGAGCCAAGCATTGCCAGCCTGTTCCTGAAGGTAAGTAGCACTGTCATTGTCATTTCAAAATAAGATCTTAGGACCATAGGTCTAGAGATGAAAGGAATCTCAGCAGTTTTCTAGTCCAGACCCCTTATTTTACAGATGAGGAACCCAAAACTTAGAGAGGTTATATAATTTGTCTAAGGTCACACAGATAGCAAATGGATGAGTTGTAGGAGTTGAACTCAGGTCTTATGAATTCAGCATGCTCTTCATGGCACCTTTCCTTCAAAATTGGTTGATTCTGAGCCTGGAAAAGTTCATCAAGTATTTTGGCACCTGTGTATGAACGTGCTTTAGAAATTAAGAAAAAAACATAATGGGAGTAAGCCTTCTCTGGAACTTAGCTCTGTCCTACTTTGTAAATATTGTTTATGGCACTGGAAATCCCATTCCGGGAATTCAGGGAAGAGCTGGTCTTCTGATTCTAAAGAATGAATGAAAAGTCTTTCATCTTCTTTTGTTTCTCTATGGCCAAGTAAAACTGCTTTTGAAAAGTAGTAGCAATAGGGGCTGTTATTGACATCTGAAGAAGTGAACCTAAAGAAAATTATTTCCTTTTTCCTGTGTGGCTTGTGTATTTTTTAAAATACTGTCAGTCGGTCAGTCAATAAACATTTATTAAGTGCCTACTACTATGACAGGTTCTGGTGCTAGTATCTGGGGATATAGTGAAAGGTAGAAGACAGTCCCTGCTGGCAAGGAGCTCACAGCCTAATTGGGGGACAATATAGGAACAACTATTACAGACAAGATATATTCAGGATGAACTGGAGATAGTCGACAGAGGAAAGGCACTAGAATGAAGGGAGGTTGGGAAAGGTTTCCTGTAGAAGGTGGGATTTTAGCTAAGATTTGCCACCTGTGGTTTAAAAGCAATGTAGCACCATAGCCCAGAGGAAATCACAAGGACACTTCCACTCCTGGATGATTGATGTCCCTACACTTTTGGCTGAGAAGCAACAATCATCTTAAAGTGGTTCCAAAAGATAGGTGGTCCTCCCCCAGCCCCTTAAGGTCAAGGCCAGAAAGGGGTTTGGAACAAAGATTTAATTATTCTTAAATTTATTCTAGACTTGTGATTATTAATCTGAGCTCCATGAATTTCTATTTTAGTGCTTAACTACATTTTAATGTAATTGGTTTCCTTTGCAATCCTTAGGTATTTAATTACTTACTTAAAAGCATTATTTTGAGATAGGCTTATCTATCTACCACTAGACTGCTCCAGGGGTCTGTGACAAAAAAGGTCAAAAGCCTCTTTTCTAAATTCTTAAGAGATAGGTAAAGGCCAGTGGGTAGGGAGATAGGGAAACTATTATATGTGTACACATCAATTTGGAAAATGTCATCCTCTTTTTTTATCCACTTCTTAAGATTCTTATGTACCCACATTTCAAATGTCAGATGCTGTCTACATCCTCTCTTCTTTCAATTATACTTCTTTCAGTAACACAATAGATGATAAAACCAAAAGTTGTGTGTTTCTTTTTCATTGACACAAAGAGACCTGTGAATTAAGCAAGCATCCAGGTTTTCTTTAGATAATTTAGGCACATCTTGTTCATAAAAATTACGTTTTATAGATGTTCAAATGGTGTTTTGAAAGCTAGAATCAACCCTCTATCAGTCTATCACCTTTTTTAAAAAAATAAACAATAAAGCAATCAAATCCCCTTATATTATGGGTAAGGGAAGAATTTATGACCAAATGAGATAGAGAGCATTACAGGAAGTAAAATGGATGCTTTGGATTATGTTAAATTAAAAAGGTTCTGAAAAAACAAAAGTCATTATAACAGATTCCAAGGACTTTCCAGATTTAGCTGTTTCAAGATCTCTGTTGTTTCAGATGGTTCTGGGGACAAGTGGTCCCTAAAGCTTGTGAAGTATTTTGTTATAAAGAAATATGTTTGCAGTGATATTCCTATTAGTGCATCTTTGAGCTGTGTCTAACTTTGTCAGCATTGAGGTTGAGCTTATTTAGCATGAGGCAGTTATGTAGCTACCTAAATAACACAATAGAATGTTCCAATCTATTCCATGGTAGTGATGAAAATACATTCTTTTACAAGCCCAAAAGATGAAGCATTCACCCTTGGGAGATTTTCCTATAAACTCTTTACTCTTTTGTGTCAGGAAATGGCCTTCGTGATTCAGCCTACATTTTATCTAAATTCTTTCCCATAAATAGTACTGGAATCAGTTTTTACCATCTCCCTGTTTCCTTCAGGCGACGCACATTTGTATTCTGTTGTGCTAATCTTGCAGAAAACAGATGTTTTGTACAGTGATTTTTGGAATGTGGTAGGTTTTAGGTATTGAATCTTACTGTGTATCACTTATAAAGAATCCTATTTGTACAGTTTCTGACATTACCAGATTCCTTCACGTTTGCCACATGATTTTTCATTTGTTAGCTGTGAGCTAAAAAAAAAAATTGTAGCTGGTGTTTGCTTTGACTCTTTTCGTTACTTGGATAACAATCTAATTTTCTTTATTGAAAATTGATAAATTTGCTAGTTACCATTCACTGAGAAGGAAATAACCTCTGTTTCTAGGAAAGTATCATTTACTAAACTGGGCTTTTCCTAGAAATACACGTTCCTTCTGGTCCTATGACTTCTCAAGTACAACTTCATCCACCGTGTGACCAGCTCAAAGTTTGTACTACTAGCTGTTCTTTAGTTTGCCTTCTTTCCCCTTTAGTAGCTCTCTGGAGCCGGCAATTTATATGTTCGCATGGGCTTGTTCATGTATATTTGTCTGCATTTTCTTCAGAAAGTCTTAGAGGGGCTATCATTTTCTTCTGACCTTGGAAAAAGGCTCTAAGATAAGCCAGTCAAAAAAGCTGATAGGGTGTTCAGGTAATTTTAACTTTGTATGTTTCTGTGTGCATGCTTAACAAATACTCAAAGACTCTGAGATTGGAAGAGGTTTATGAATATCTGCAACTCTAGTAAAAGAAGGAGACAATCTGAATAAACCTGTTGTTATTATTGTTCAGTTGTGACTCCATGGACCATACTGTCCATGGAGTTTTCTTGGCAAAGACACTGGAGTGGTTTGCCATTCCCTTCTCCAGCTTATTTTACAGATGAGGAAGCTGAGGCAAACAGGGTTAAATGAGTTACTGGGGGTCACATAGCCAGTAAGTCTCTCAGGGCTGGATTTGAATTCAGGTCTTCCTGACCCCTGGGCCCAGTGCTTTTATCTGTTGTGCCACCTAGCTGCCTCTTGAACCTGCTGTACACAATGCAGAAACAAACTTTTCTCAAAGCTCTCCTAGTGCATTTCAATCCAGACCTGTATTTCTTTGAGGATTTTACTTCTCCTGTTTCCACCTTGAATTAAAATTCTTAAATACAGGTGTTGCAGACTAAATTGTGGAATGGTTTTGTACAGGATGCTTAGGAAGGGAGGGGGAGAGAGATAGAGATAGAGACAGGAGGAAGAGACAGAGAACAAAGTCTCATGTATTTAGTTAATAACTTTAAGTCAAATTCAACTCATTTGACTGAAATTTTTAAAAGCTTTGAATATTATACATATATATACATATGCACATATATAATATATGTGTCCTGTGCAAGAAAGGACCCGTGATTTAGTATTCAGAGTGTTTTTTTTTTAATTTTAGTCAAATGAGTTGAATATATGTGTGTGTATGTATGTATGTATGTATGTATGTATATACCAATTAGTCTCTAGAATGGTGGCAAAACCCAATCTGAGATATGACATAATCCAGGGAGCAGTTCTGTATCACAAATATAAACATTCCTGGTTTTACTTTGGAGAGTGTGGATGCATGTTAGGACAGTTAAGTCTTTCCTTAGCGTGCCAGAACATAATTGTTTTCAAACAGCACATAATCAGAACACATGAATTTCATCTGTGACTTGAACTTAAACCTTTGGGATTTCACATTTTATTCTGTGCTAGGAAAAACAAACTAAAGACCAACTCCCTAATTTCAGCACAAAAAGCCCACAAGACTACTGAAAATAGTTTAGAGGTGACATAGCTTTAAAAATGCCAAAGTAAGCTTTTTCTGCTTTAGAAAATAAATGAATCAGAAACCTAGATTAAATCTTCATAATAAACAGTTTGTTTTTTTTAAGTAGGAAAGATGTATTTGGTAAAAATCTCATTTATTAAACCACATTTTTTTCTGTTAATATGCAAAAGTTAGAATGTTTAATGAAGCACTAAATAAAGCATTCTCTAAATTTTAAATGAACTGAAGTTTAGATATATATATATAATATATATAGTTATATATATGAACATATATATGAATGTATATTTCTGATTTCCCATTTCCTACCCTCTCATATACCAATTAGTTACCAAGTCATATTGATTATACCTCTGCTGCATCTCTCAAAAATATCCTCTCGTTTCCTACTACAACATGACACAGGCCCTGATTACCAAAACAATTACCTGGATTATTACTATAGGACCTAATAGATCTTTCTGCTTTCACTCTCTCCCTCCTTCAATTCACCCTTCATACCATTGACAAAATCACTTTTATGCTTTTGAGTTTCATATGCACATAGTCACATGTTTCATTTATGTTTGCCTTAGGTCCTAGTTCTTCCCTCTTGGAGACTATAGGGAGCTCAAGAATTTGAAATCTATGCATGTTGTGCTATACAGAAATCCGACTGGATTGACAGTGGATCGGTCAGATGCTGATAATGAAATGGAAGGTTAGGATTGTGTAGGATTAGGATTCAGTAAACTTGCAAAAACAAACAAACAAAAAAACAAACTTCTTTTAAAACCAAGCTTTAAAGAACATAGGTTGCCAATATTAGTAATTGCTCTGTAGTGGGAGATGTGGAGAGAGGTTCACTACAAAGCACGGTCTTCAGCTCACCAGCTGTCCCAGATCCCCTTTGTCGACTAGAGTTACAAGATGAATTC